GGTTACCAAGCAGGTGCCCCTCCTGACTATCGTGGTTACCAAGGAGTAAGTGCCCCACCTGGATACCAAACTGTACCTACTACCACCACTGTAGTMGTGCGTGGTGGCAATTGTCCTGCATGCAACATCGGTTATACTCATTCAGAGTTCACAATACTTGGAATTTGCTTGGCCATTTTGTTTTTTCCCATCGGTATTTTATGCTGTCTGTTGTTGACTGAAAAACGCTGCAACAATTGTGGAATGACTTACACTTAAATTGAAATGCATTTATTATAACTCATGAAAATAACAAAGTATTAATTGGAATGAATTTTATTCTGAAATTGCTAATTTATAAATAAAATAGGTGTAGAGTGCTCGCACTTAAACCGTGAAACAAATAGTACYAATTACTACTAAATAGTGTTGATTATACAATAGGAAACAAAGAAATTTGTATCATTTATCACCTATTTTGTAAGTATTTATATTTCACGCATTTAGTGAGAGCACTCTATTATAGAATGCATTCATTGTATCCAAGTAGCAAATTACAAATTGAATTGTGCAAATTAGTACACAAAATTCCTTGTCATTTGGTTGTTGAATGTACTCTTTATTTTAAAAAAAGGTTGTCACTGCTGAAGTTGATGTTACCATCCAAGACCTAATTACTTATGTTACTAAGTATCTTTAACAGTGACAAGCTAATATATTACAAATAAATCCTATATAAATAATGAATCATATTTTTAAATTTGGAATTTATAAAAACATGATATTATGTTGTGAATATACATCAGAGCACCATGAYTTTGCGTATGAGGGATGTACGTTTTAACCTGGTTCCAGAGGTTTMATTGTATCTCTTTGCTACCTTGAACAGACAGTGATTAAGTGTAGACTTAACAAATGGAACTCCTGAAACTGGCTGAAGTACATATTATACTGCTAAACCTATTTAGATTTTATCAACAGGGTATGGGGATTGCACCAAGCCAGGTGTAAAAAGGCATGTTAAAACAGTTTTAAATAACCACTGGTATTAAATAATATGTTTATTGTGCAGTCCTTTGGTCTCAGTGGCTGGGGCTGTTATATTGCATAACTTTAAAATAATACAATTCAGATAAAGTGAAGTGTATACTAAGCATGATTGTTGTATCATGAATAACTTACACAACTTGTATAATATTTGCATCTTGAATGGGATACTATGACTACAACACAACTTATTGTATGAGCATTTTAAGATAASATAAGATCAACTTTATTTTAATGGAAGATTTTTAAATCATAATATACAAGTAAAGTTGAGACAATTATGCATGGATCTTGTAGTTTGATTACCTCTTCAGAAAATAAACAAACATTGAATAATTGTTGAATAGTAAAATTTATTAACTTAAGTAATTCATGAAGTACGCTTTTAGTGTTTTTTTTTTCTCTAGTAATTTAATCAAATAATCTATGTTCTCTAATATAATGTTGATAAGTAATCTAAGTATGTACAGCCTTTTGCAAAAATTATGAGAATTGTTGAAATATCTAAATATAATATCGAGTGCATAATATCAAGTGCATGATATTTAGATATTTAGACAATTCTCATAATTTTTGCAAAAGGCTGTATATGATAAGTAATCTAAGTATGTATATGAACTCATCTTGGCATTTTTCTCAACTCAATATATATTTTTTTGCCTCTTGCCTGCATTGCTTCTGCTGGAATCATTACCCTAACTAGAAATGCAAGTAAATTTCCAAAATTTCATAGATATTTTGAATATTATTTAGATATTTTTTATTTCTAATCTCCTTGCACCATCAGCAGGACTTGATATCAGGCATGATCCCTTGGGGTATCCATCCTAGAATCCATCAAAGAACACAATAAACAATTAACTATATAATATTCCAGGCAGATAACATTATTAATATATAGGATATTACAACATAGAACATTAATATTTATATAGGACATATTTTGAATGAATTATTATATCCCTTGGCCTTATTTGGCTTAATGAAATGACTGACTTCTTGATAGAGACTTGTAAAACAAAACACTGAACTTCTGCAAAATCTTAAACTTTTTTGAAGCCTTTTCTTGTATTTTGCATACAAGCTTGTTTTTGAAATCACAAGGCCTTAAGAAAATGCATTATTACTTACTTTCAAATGTTGGATAAGTTTTTCAACTGCATCTTTCTTGACAAGGGTCACAGTACATCCACCAAACCCTCCTCCTGTCATTCKTGATCCATAAACACCATTGACTTCCATTGCTAGCTTCACTAGTGTGTCCAGCTCAGCACAGCTAACTTCATAGTCATCTCTAAGCAACAAATCAATATTATATTATAATGATCAGTTTTGGCTCAATTGTAAACCTTATTTATCAGATAGAAGTGAAAAGTGGTGCTTTATTTGTAAACTCATATTAGGACTATGCTCTGATATAGTGGTATTGTGGTTTTTCTTGACACTTTTTACTGATYCAAAACTCACAATGGCTGCTGAGAAATGTGTCAGAATTCTGCCAAACTGTCAGAAGGACAGGGATTAAGTTCCTGCTAAATGATGTCAATTTAAGCATAAGTAGTATCATTAGTACCTGAGTGAATTATGGCTTTCTACCATTAGCTGACCAAATGTCTTGTAGTTGTTGCTTTGAAGGGCATCTGCTGCTCTTTGTGTCCTTGATATCTCTCCTACTACATGGCGTGCTCTACGGAACACCACATCCTCCAATTCATCTTTTCGTTCTGAAATGACATAATCAGTGAATCCATTATCCTGTCAGTGATTCAGGTATATCGCTCGGGGAATTAGTTTTGTCACTTTCCCTTACCAAGAGCCCCAACATTAAGAAGGAATTCATACAGTTTTTAACAACTTGCAATACCCCGTTTTGTCTTGAACAGGGTATGGATTTTTACTTTCTAGTGTCTTAAACAGGGTAAGGGTTTTAGACCGCTGGCGGCACATACCCCCCCCCCCCCCTACACAAGGTGAGAGGCACAGCAGTGTCTTGCAGACTTACTAGTGAGGTCTTCTAAAGTCACGTCACGTAGACTTGGCTTGCCAAGAATTGATGCTGCTGTTTCACACTGACRACGTCTTGTTGGATATTCACTGCCTGTTAGTTTGTGGCGCACCTTGCTGTTTGTTATAAGAACAACCACATTTGGGTCTGATAAAGGGATCAAAGATCCTTCCATTGATCTGTGACACAAGGCAGTAATGTAATCAATTAGTTTAATGACAATGATTCAAATCCAATTAATTAAATTGTGATGATTATATTGTGATGATGATGAGCAATTATGATTATATGAGTCAAAATATGCTGGTTCTATTTGAAACCTTCCTGAATAATTCGTAAAGAGCTTATAGCTATTTTTCATCCTGAATCTGAATCGCAAATTGTCAAGACTTTGATGAGGTATGTACATAATGCAGTCAATGTTGCTCAAGCTAAACAAAACATGAGCTCTGAAGTCTTGTAAACCAGCTATTGCTTTAATTCTAAATACCTGCAGTCCAGAAGCAATGCATTGCCTTTTTTACCCATTACTGATATAAACTGATCCATAATTCCACAAGGCATCCCTGCAAAGTCATGCTCAGCTTTCTGGCAGGCCAGTGCCTTAGCTTTTARATCGTTCTGCTCTGAATTGCATAGTTGCTCTAAAAATGTGTACATTGCTACTTCTAGTGACGCTGAGCTTGACAATCCGCCTCCAAGAGGTACTGAYGTGGCTATTGCTGCTTTGAATGATGGTGGTGGGCATGGAAAATTAGCAATGACACCTTTAACATAATTGGCCCATGATGGTTCCCCTGGGGAGAGGGGAGAGGATGTGGATGGTAATGGGAAGGTGATCTGGTGAGGTTCATCTACACCTTGGGCTGAGGTCGCAATGCTACAAGTATTGTCATCGGTTTTGCACCCTAGTATTACTGTCACTAATTCCAAGGCCTGGAAGTTAAGGATATGACGTAAATACTTTAGTAACATTCCTTGTAAGAACTGGGCATATTTTGGCTTTGCTAATGCAATTATTGCATTAGCAAATAAATCCGATACATCATTAATCTGATTATAATCTATGTGATAAGATGATAGTTTCAAAAACAGGAATTTCAAATTTCAAAATCAACTTTTTTATAAGAATTKACAACTTTTTGTTCAGTATCATGTAATGTTTATTTTAATAGTTACTTAAACTGGTTACATTCAAAATGTTACTTAAATCATATTTGGGGAAGCATAGTTAACAATGGGGAACGCAGTTAAAATCTTCATAATTGTTTGACTTCTCRAGGTAACAAGTAATAGGCAGGCGTCAATGTTTACGTTTTTAGCTAATTTGCATAAAAGTAAGAAATCGAGTTTCAGGCCACAGGAAAATCAAGCTTATAAATGAAAAGAACTCATACCTGTWAGMAATTCCTGAAAATTTGAAGACAATTGGTTAAATATTTTAAGAGTTGCCGTTTTTTCTCTATTCTTTTCTTCCGTCTATTTCTTATATTTTTCTATTTCTTATTTAATCATTSTTATCTTTCTACGTTTTGTTCTATTTCTCATTTAAGTTTGCTGATCATTCTACTTTTTCCATCCATTCCTTCCTTAACCCATTCATCCATTGTCTAACGTCTAYTTACATGTATTACCAAAACTTAGATACACTTCTATCCATTCATCCACTCTTATATTGTCAACTCATTTTCATCCATTTATCTATTCCCATATTGCCTTATTTTTCTCATAACTCATAATAAGTTTCAACAATAATTTTGATATTTTTTAACTTTTATTTTTTACCCTTTCGTCTCGGGGGGGGGGGGGGGGCATACAATAGAATTTTATAAGTAAGGTTATGATGATGAAAAGTAATTCACATTGGGGAGTACGTTTCAAAGCAGACGTACTTTGAATTTCATATTTTGGATGTATTAAACAAACTACTAAAGATGTTTTAATCAGTTCCGATGTCTTGTTCGCCGGAAATGTTCCTTTTATTGAGAAATGCGGATCAACGTAAAAAAACTCTTACATTAGTTCTATTGAGAAAAGCGGACGGTCCAGTTCTGACTAAAATCGAATGTATTCCGAGGTTCGATAKTTTTACTTGTCGAATTAGAAATATGACACCAAACAAATGGAATGTTACTATCAAAAAAATAAAATCTCAATTAAAAACATGCAATAGAGGAAATTAAGATGGCAAGACAGGACGGGACGGCTATATATTAAACAGACGCCATTCAAGGTCCRTTGCAYATCAAGAACTAAAATGAAAAAGAACTCTTGAATCATAATTGCGATTTTTGATTCAACATCAATCCAAAAATAAACAAAGAAAACAAAAGAAAACATAATTGCGATTTTTGATGGAGTCGTTATCAGCGACAAACTTACCATAGGAAATACGAAGCCATCATTGTAGTCCGTGTGCTCTCCAATCAAGTTAACTCTGCCTGGAGCACAACAAGCGACGGAGGGAGAACATTTAAATTGGTTTTCAAATAAAGAAGCTGCTTCCCTAAGGACATCTTCAACGCAGTTTGCCATAAATTCAACGATGTGTTGTCAATAATAACAGCGTCTCGTGACATGAAAAGGTTCAATGGGTTTTGTTTTCCTATTAAGCTTACGTCATCCTTTCAAGACCTTGCGATCCACAGCGGGGTGCCTGCACTCACCACATTTTCTCGTGTAGCAGAGGGATTCCAGAAACGTCGAGTTGGATTTCGAGTTCGAGTTGACWCAAATATCTGGGTACATCCTGAAATTTGTAATATTCAATGATTGTTATCTTAGATGCTTACGACGTAAGTCGGAAGTGAATTGAAAACAATAGAGGGGGATCGGGAAATCTTCGAGTTACGGCTTCGCGCTTGCAGCTAACCTCTCAGCTCCCACCCCCTCGGCGTGGTTTTCTGTGTCACGCGATGTACAATCAGAGAAATACTGAAATAATTGACTTTATTTGGTATCCATCGTATCTGCCCGTTTTTATCAGGCAATGACTTTGTTGTTTGGTCTCTCCGTGTCACATTTTGGCCGTCTGGCCTGGTTCTAGTCTATTCAAAATGGAGGACAAATACGGACTTATTATATTGTGGGCCTCTTTTTCTCTTTTAGTGATTATAATTTACCTATGGAAGCGACACAAAAATCTTAACAATGAAASAAAGGATAAGGAAACTATAGGAACACACAAATCTGTTAAGGAAGCAAGACTGAAACATTTTAAAATGGAAACAAATGTAGAGAAATCTGAGCAGCAATTCGAGGGTTTTCATCAACAAAGTGAAACTTTAAGTGGACAAAACGAAATGARCATTAGGAAAAGAAAAGGGAATGGAAAGACAAAGTATAAAGCAATCAACCAAAAAACAATCGTTGGCCCAACAACAATTTACAACRAACGAGCAGAAATGGGAAGTCATTTTGATGTCGACACAGGAAGCCCAATAACTCAACCACTAAAAACGTTAGAGGAAGCCCTGCTATGGAGGCCTGGTTATGATGAATTTAATGTTGCTAGGGTCAAATTAGATTCTGGTTGCCAAGGACTTGATAAMAGACCAAGAACTTTGGTATGTCATGATATGAAAGGCGGTTACATTGAAGACAGGTAATGTATTGAAAATATATGAATCAGAAATCTTAAAAAGGTTATCTCCAATAATCTATCAGGCTAGCTCTACAACTTCATTGCTTACTTAGTAAAGACTGCCAACATGTCTATCTCAATTCTCAATGTTGTATTTTATGCCATTAGCTTTTCAGTGAAGGCAGATTACTGACCTGATCGAAATATGAATTGCCTTTGAAATTCCTAAGTTGCTACATTTGTAGTCATGTAATTCCCAAATCATTTCATGTTGTTATTGCAACAGATGGACTGCTTGCTTTCTAACAAGTGCTTTTACCTTGTTATCTTTTTACCTTGTTTATTTAAGGGTAAATTCTGCAAGGGTAAAAATCTGGGTTGTTACAGTGTGGCTACTGGAACTGGGTCCACCTAGAGAATGTAAAATAATCACAATTTCTATTGAAAAAAAAAGGCTTAAAAAAACTAAAAAACGATGATCACCGATATTGCAAAGAACTAAAGCTAATGAGATGAGGTTTCCTTAGTTTTGAAGCCTTTGTTTTCAATCTAAATTGTGGGTTTTTATATTCTCTAGGTGGCCCTGGTTTCAGTATAGCAACACTGTAATAAGTCCTTGACACAAAGAAAGGCTTTAAAAATCATGACTGCTTTATTTCACCAATAATAAACAATGGTAGTCTTTCTTCTTTGTTTTTATAATCAATGTAATTTAAATATAAGCATATTGTAGGAATAAAAAAATTGTAAATTTCTGACATCTTCTATGTCCATAGGTTTGTCCAAGGATATCTGTCCTCAAGCTGTTATCGTATTTATCACTGGCAGTATATTGACGTCTTTGTATACTTCAGCCATCATTTTGTGACTATTCCYCCTCCATGTTGGACTAATGCAGCTCATAGTAATGGAGTCRTAGTTCTCGGTACCTTRATCACAGAGTGGGAAGATGGTGCACAAAGGTGTAGTGAATTCCTGGAAGATGAACACTCTTATAAAGCACTTGCAAACCAACTTGTTGACATAACAGAATATTACAACTTTGATGGCTGGTTGATTAATATCGAGAACCCTATCCAGGTATGTTATATTTAGGCATAGTTTTTTCGCTGAGATATGGGTAAATCATTTATTTATTAATTAATTTATTTATTTATTTATTTAT